AATGAGGGTAGATTACATATTGTCGCCAGCGACAATATGTACATGTATAACTTTTTAGCCGACGACAATATGTACCGATGGACGACAATATGCACAGTGAGCTTCGGTACATATTGTTGCCGATGACAATATGTACAAAACGACAATATACCGTCACACACTTTCACGTGGTTAAACGTTTGCATAGCACTAAAAAAGGGATGTATTCACTGTTTACTTACTCTTACCCTGAACTATTATTTAATTGTCAATTCTTCCCCATGTGTTGTTTTTTGTTGTTGTAATTTCCTTTTCATGCTTTGAGTATTATGCAATATAACTTGTGATAGGACATTGGCATAACACAATAAACATTCTGTACATGACGTGGATAAAATGTTTGAATATTGTAACGTATTCTACATGTATTTCTGAATTGTTGAATTACTTGACCTGGCATAGAGCGCTTTAAGAATTTAAATTTCATTCACAAGACGTACAGAAGACAAAATCCGGGATGATGTTTTGTCTTCTACTCAGTGGAAACCTTTGGTATTCAATAACAGGTAAACATTTTCACAAATATTTTTTTTAAGCTCACCTGAGCTGAAAGCTCAAGTGAGCTTTTCTGATCACATTTTGTCCGGCGTCCGTCTGTCTGTCCGTCTGTCTGTCTGTAAACTTTTCACATTTTCGACTTCTTCTCAAGAACCACTGGGCCAATTTCAACCAAACTTGCCACAAAGTATCCTTGGGTCAAGGGAATTCAAGTTTGTTCAAATGAAGGGCCTAGCCCTCTTTCAAGGGGAGATAATTAGGAATTAGTGAAAAAAATAATGGCACCATTTAAAAATCTTCTTCTCAAGAACCATAGGGCCAGGAAAGATGAAACTCATGTGGAAGCATCCCCAGGTAGTGTACATTCAAGTTTGTTCAAATCATGATCCCCGGGGGCAGGTCGGGGCCACAATGGAGGATCAAAGTTTTACATAGAAATATAAAGGAAAATATCTTCTTCTGAAGAACTGCAATCCATAATTAGTCATTTTGATTTGGAAGCATCCTCAGGTAGTGTAGATTCAAGTTTGTTCAAATGATGACCCCCAGGGGTAGGGTGGGGCCCCATGGGGGATGGAAAATTTTACATAAGAACATATAGAAAAAATATTTCTTCTCAAGAACAAAAAAGCTATGTTTAGTCATATTGATATGGAAGCATCCTCAGGTAGTGTAGATTCAAGTTTGTTCAAATGATGACCCCTGAGATAGGGAGGAGCCACAATGGGGGATCAAATTTTTATATAGAAATGTATGGGAATTTTTTTTTTAATTTTCTAACCCCCCTCCCCCGGTCTTTTCAATACTGAACTGATTTGTGCTTTTGCCTAGCCAATGTGCTCAGGTGAGCGATGTGGCCCATGAGCCTCTTGTTTCAATTACTGTAACTCTATCAATCAAGCAACTAGAACTTTTTTTTAAACATAGACACAAACAAATAAGAAGAATTAAACTTTCAAAAATACTTTCGTACAGAAATAAATAGTTTCTTCAAAGATATTGTTGCTTTATTTAATGATCATTAAAATAATCATGCTTATATATCTACAATTTTCTTTTTTCTTTTTTTTTTTTTTTTTTTTTTTTTTTTTTTTTTTTTTTGCATGTAGCTTTTTACTTTGACTCTTCATTACAAAAGTCACTGACTCAAAATTAGAAGAAAAAAAACGTCTATCTTACGTATGAAATTTAAATGTTCTTACAGTTTGACAAAATTTCTGAAACAATCTAGAAATTTAAAACAATTCCTTTACAAAGTGATCGACTAGTACTGATGTTCTTTTTATTTCAAAACTTAATATTAGGGGATGGGGTGTATGATGGCGAAAGTATATGATTAGTTTGCTTCAGATACCCGAAACTTTTGGCATTATAGTAATTTTTTTTTTTTTTTTTTTTTTTTTTTTTTTTTTTTTTTTTTTAAAGAATATTTAAAGAAGGCATAAAAAAATCATTTTATCATAGGAACAATAACATTGCAAACCATTAAAGTAAATCTACAAAGCTGAGTTTTCATACATACATTTATGAAAAGACTCAACTAAAAGTAATTTTAACATTGACACTGATGATGAAGGATAATTATTAGACGTAGAAGTTGAACTTTAAGGAAAACACTATTCAATTAAGTCGGAAATAATTTACTTATGATATTAACTGTGTGTTAAGTTAACATGTTAAATGCTTTTATCATTCATTAAAAAGACGAATATTGAACATTTGTTATCAAAGATATACTTGTTTAAAGATATTCTGCTTAGTTAGAGATATAAAACACATTAGAGAAGTACTTCAATGCTACTTATTATAACATTATACAGAAATGTTTACATTTACTTTACTAAAATACAAACACATACGATTTGCTCTAGAAACATGATTGTCGAGATTGCATAACTATTTCCGACTTGTTTCATAATGTTGCACATCGTTTAAGGACACATGGAAGTAATAAGTTTTTTTTTCTTTTAAACATCCAAAGGTTTCACTGTGCTAACTGAAGGTAGATTACCAGGGGTTTTATACAGAGGAACCAAAAACAGAACAGAAACTGGTAGAACGTGTCAAAGATGGGATACACAGATTCCACATGAACACGTTTATGATATGTTTAGTCTAGCACAAGAAAACTATTGTCGTAACTTTGATAGAGAGGAGCCATGGTGTTTTACCAATGATTCGAACGTTCGGTGGGAACTCTGTGGCGTAGATGTTTGTGGTCTGTACATCAATATATATCAGCCAACTATTAAAAATGATAGAATTTAACGAATTTAAAAAAAAACATATTAGACTGCCTTTAAAAAATCAGGTTATGCAAGCCTTATTTTTTTTATCAGTATGTTTATTTAAACAGAATTAGCCAATTGCAATTAACGTTAATACGACTGAAATAAAAATGAGATACTTCACGTAATACGATGGTTGATCTAAAAGTAATATCAGAACTGCTGTATAATTTTTAATAATCGAAATTTATCAACAAAATTTTATATTTACGAGGGGTTATCGAAAAGTTCGTGGACTGATGCGATAAAGTTAATTTTATGTAGTATATGCTTACAAAATTTATAAGAAACATAAAACAACAAAAGTTTAAGAAATGTTGAAAATTTAAGCTTGATACATTGACAATTTTCCAAATTATTCTAAAATGAAAAAAAGACGTTATATGATCACTCGACGCTGTCGCCGTTTAGTTTAATGACGTCCGAAAACGTCATTGTTTCTCAATGTCCGCTTTCTCTACCTCATACACTTATCTTGATGAGATTACCTGGAGTTTAGTAAGGAATTAAACCCTCTTGTTTATATGACTTTACAATGTCTTGAACTGCTGCTTTCAATGCATATAATATTGTAAATGAATCTATTCATAGGGACAGATCCTCACTTGATTATTCCAATATACTTAGCTTGTTCAAGTTCAATTTCTACTACACATAATCAACGTCACTTTTCGAGGTGACTGACTTTTGACACCCTGACTACAAAAAGAAGAAGGTATGGTTTTAGCTTTATTGTGCCCTAAAAATTTAATGTTTTCAAAAAGATTTGAAACTGGCTTAAATATTAGTTGAGTATATGACTGTAATAAATCAGGAAAGAATAAAGCATGATGGAGTACCATTCTGGATATATGACGTCATTAATTTGATGCATTTCTCTATTTTAAACAGAACAAGCCTCAAAATGACCCATTTCAAGGGTTATTTTCCTGAAGAAAATAATGTCCACAGCCATCGCCCACTATAATTTTCGGATATGTTGTGTGAAATTCTGTGAAAAATCACATATCTCAAAATCTTTGTGGGCGATGCCTGTGGACAATATTATCTGAAAGAAAATTCCATTGAAAATTGATGTCTTCTGCAACTTTTTAAGAAAATACGGGAAAATGCACAAGTTATGACGTCACAATTAGCATTTGGAAGGTCATGTGAGAAAAAAGATTTGTATGATCTTTCTGCATGGAATTTCAATAATTCAAAAAGCATGAGTTTTAATTTTCTACATCACTTTTATTTTTAAGAAAAACACAGGGCAAGATTTGTATTGAAACCGTACCTTGTTCTTTTTCTGTAGCCCGTTTAAACAATCCCTAGGTCTATACTAGTTTTTCCAGGTGCGTAACTTTATAGAATGCTGGAAAAAGAATCTCCTCCCCCTTTTTGACGTCATTTTCAAGCCCTTAATTTTTTTAAGACTCCACATAAAATTTACGATAAAATTTCATAGAACTTACAGAATGGGGTAAAAATTGCAAAATTTACGGAACAATTGTGTCGTACAACATGCCTGAAATAACGGGATTTTTTTATGATAAATGCTCATACCAAAAGAGTTTTTCTCAGTTACACTCGGGTTGAATAAACGTCATATTTGAGGGACGTACCATTGCTTACAAAAACATTAACAATTTATTTAAAAAAGTAGAACTTTTGATTTATGGTTTATTCTATAGATAGAAAAGATAATACTAACTGAATATGCTAAAATTCATCGATGTACCTAAAGCGGTTTTAATTTTATGGCGCTAGTCCATGAACTTTTTGATAACCCCTAGTAAATACCTCGATCTATTTTGATATATGCCTTAACATTTCATTCAGATATATGCAATACTTTTTTCAAATATTAAAATAAACACAGCTATTATCCTCGGCACTCATTTTCAGTTCATCTAGAAATCTTTTAAATCTCTCATATATACATTTATTCCATAAGGCCTTCAAACTTTATAGCAAAATGGCAGTAAAAATTATATATTAAAAAAAAAAGCAAGCGTGAGGTTAAAAAGATTCGTAAATAAACTGAAAATGAGTGCCGAAAAGTAACTTTATAACGACGTTCGTAATATTCTTGCTGTGCTGCGATAGAAAAAAACCTAACGCTGTGTTTATTCAAATATTTTTTTAAAAAATGTTTATATCAATAAATGAAATTTTAAGGCAAAAATTAAAATGGATAGAGGTACTAATTCCTAAAATTTTGTTGATAATATTGGATTATTAAAAATTTTATAGCAGTTGTGAAATTACATTTGGATCGAATATTTAATTTTTATTTATTATTTATTTTTTTAGAATATTTTTGAATTCTAAAAAAATATTTAAAGAGGAAGCTCATTCGATTAATGGATTGATATAAAATGAATTTTACATTTCGGCACCAAGAAAAGGAAAACAAATACCGCATCTATATTTTAATTGAATCCGCTCATTGATCTAATTAATTCTTTTTCATCTTAAGATACGTCATTTCTTAAAAAAAAAAAAGAAAGAAAGAAAAAGAAAAAGAAAAAAAATGAAATCTGGGCATATTTTTGAGACAATCTCTAGAGACCAAGAGTCAGATAGACCGAAACTACGGGTAAAATTTAATATTTTTCCAACTGGTTGTAGCGGTTGTATTTATTTTGAATGCTTGTATTTTTCTGCATCGATTTGATGTAAAGTTGCTAATTTTGTTTTGTTTCAGGAACACCGTGTCTTAACCAGTCCCTTTATGACGAAAACATTACTCATCAGTGTGTTTCTGATACACCCAAGAGTAATTTATATTGCAAGTCAGTGTTAAGTAAAGTTCAAAAGTGATTAGGAACTTTTTTTTTTAATTATGACTTCCTGTTTAGCCAAATGTATGATAAAGACTGAATATTTATATTGCGGTACCACTGCAGTCTATTTAGTCTTTGTACGAATACAGTTAATATAAGAACTTTTAAAAACTGTCTGATTTCATTGATTGTCTGTTTGACGACCCCTCGAGAATTTTTTACTCCTGTTGAGTCGCCTCCACTTGCAGGTGGAGGACTGCAAATTAAGACCTGTACTTGGCATTTACAGCCTTTGAGCAGTGAGGGATCTTTTTCGTGCAAGAATCTACTTCGACACTTGACCTCGCTTTATACGGTCTCATCCGAAGGACCGGTCTCCACATCCCGCAGTGGGATTCGAACCTTAGACGTAAGGATCAACTCTTTACTCCGGGACTATAAAGCAAACGTTCTGACCATTGCGCCACGTGAGCGATGTCTGTTTTTGAATTTGTATTAAAATATATCATAAAGACATTAATCAGCATAGTCTTGCAGACTCCGTTATAGATGATATATGTATCGAAACTTTTTCACTCACATTGTAAATATTTTTTTTCAGTTATATCTTGAGCTTAATACTGTGTTTTACAAAGAATGTTGAAAACGCAACTGGCTCACAATGCCATTCTGATATTGAATGGAGATCTATTGCTTTCCAAATACAAAATACTATAGAGGATCTCATTGGAAAGTCTATATCTGAATGTAAGTTATCGATTTGCAATTCTTCGTAGAATATGGAATGGCAATCTAGAAAAGAAAAGAGAACAGAAAGAGAAAACTCTTACGATACGTACCTTTGATCTAATCAAATTCAATTTCCTATTGTTTTGGGTTGTTTTCCTTTATATTTAAAAGAATTTCTCAGTAGGGCTTCAAAACGATATATATTCCATAGTTTTTGTTCCAAAAGCTGCTTTTCTTGTTTCTTATTTTGTAAAGGTGCAATATTCCTCAATCTGCACGGTAATTTTTCAATTGTATTCACTTTGGAAGAAGGACATAATGTATCCTATTGTTTGTTTGTAGTTCTTTGCACTTAGAATGTCCTTTCATGCAGTAATTATGTTCTTTTAATTGTTCTAGACTTTAGCATCAATAGAGTTTTATCACATACGTGCATGAATTAAATCAGTGGGATTTTTACATGAGTTCAAAGAAAATATGGGAAAAAATCCTGTTTCCCTACAGAAATTCTTAAAAATATCACCATTGAAAAACAAACAAATGAAACTGTACGTACAAAATACGACCGGTTATTTTAAAAATTATAAATTTAGAATAATTACAAATAGGAAAACATCGAGATTTCGGAAATCATTGCTTTTATCACCGAATAATGATCTTCTGTGAGACTTGAGGATGATGAACCATAAATCATCATTATGATAGTGACTTGTTTTTTTTTCCTGATCTATCTGAGTCCTTTTTAGAGTTTTGATATATCATTTGACAGCAAACAAACACGAGTAGTAAATGCTGGTAATATTAAAAAGAAAATGATATATTTCACCAACCTTCATTATTACAGTATAGACATTTTGTGTAAAAAGAAAATATCCAAATGTTAATGTGTCCAGGCGATGGACCAGACATGAAAAAAGAAAACCTTGACACTTTGTCAGAATGTATTAAATGTATCAGATGTATGTTAAAATCGCGCATTAAAAAATTGAGAGGCAATATGAAAACCATCTATCCTTCTGTATTCAATAATCCAGAAGTGAAAAAAAGAATTAGATAGATTACATGATCAGTACGTACTGGTACCTGCTGACAAAGCAGGTAACAACATTATCCTTGTTTGTAAGACTCATTATATCAAATGTATTTTAGAGGAACTTGGATTTAATTCTACAAGTGGTAATCCAACTTATGCTCATAGTTCCCTTTCTAAGGAAGAAATTCTTCAAAATCATATATCAGTTTTGAATATTTTTAATATTCCAAACAACCAAAATGAATTTGAATTACCATTTCTATTCTGGATTCCAAAACTTCATAAAAATCCTTACAAACAAAGATACATAGCGGGTTCCAGTAAATGTTCAACCAAGCCTCTATCTTTACTCCTCACTAAGATATTAACAGCGGTGAAGGAGAAACTTCAAGAGTACTGTGCAACAATATATTCGAGAAGTGGTGTAAATCAGATGTGGATACTTAAAAATTCCAAGGAACTTTTGGAAATTTTGAAATCACAAGATTTTACCAAAATCAACAGCTTAAAAACTTACGACTTTTCAACTTTATACACAACCATTCCCCACGATAAATTAAAGTCCAGGCTTTTTGATATCATTGACAGCTGCTTTTTCAATAAAAATGGAACTCGTAAATATACTTACCTTGTCATTGGTCATTTGCAAAATTATTTTGTTAAAAAACATTCTGATTGTACACACAAGTACTCTGAAGTTGACATTAAAAAGATGCTTGAGTTTCTGATTGACAATATCTATGTGGTTTTTGGAGACCAGGTCTTCCAACAATCTATTGGAATACCTATTGGTGCCAATTGCGCCCCGTTATTAGCAGACCTTTTTTGTATTCATATAAAGCAGAATTTGTCCAAAATCTTGTACGTGAAAAGAAGAAAACACTTGCTGTGGCGTTCAACTCGACATTTAGATATATCGACGACGTACTGTCAATCAACAATGGCTATTTTCATTCTTATGTCGATACGATATATCCTGGTGAACTTGAGATAAAAGATACCACAGAGTCTGACACATCTGTATCATATTTGGATATTTTACTTGTAAAAGACGTTGATGGTAATCTAACAACCAAGCTTTATGATAAACGTGATGACTTTAACTTTTCAATCGTCAGCTTCCCTTACTTATGCAGCAATATACCTTGATCACCTGCATACGGGGTATATATCTCTCAGTTGATTCGATACGCAAGAGCATGCTCTACGTATATACAATTTCTAAAACGAGGTAAATTATTGACAAATAAGTTGATGAAACAAGAATATCAGCAGTCTCGATTAAAGTCATCATTTCGTAAGTTCTTTGGTCGATACAATGACCTTGTCAGCAAATACAATTTATCATTGAGTCAAATGCTGACTGACGTTTTTCATACTAATTGTTAGGCCATTATTTACACACTGATTTGTCGACGGATTTTTCCGTTATTTCCCGATCATGACAAGGAGCACACGGCGGGTGTGACCGGTCGGCAGGGGATGCTCACTCCTCCATGGCACCTGATCCCACCTCTGATGTTTGGAGGTCCGTGTTTGCTCTGCTCCTATTTTGTATTGTATAATGGACTTTTGAGCTTGAATACTGTTTGTTATCTCCATATATTTCATGTAATCATATCCATTAGAGTTGTACTTTTGTAAAGTACTTATGGTAGATTTTTACTCACTAACGACTTTTCAAATGTAATTGTCGTTGATTCTTTTTCAAATTACAGGTCTGATATCCCCATGCCGCGATCCAAATCTCATAGACAATTCTTTGGGGATGATTAACGTAGGAGTGCCATGTTTTTACGAGATAATCGGAAGATTTAAAGCTGTATCATGCCAGTTTGTATCTTTGTGTCTTAATATTTATTTTAAAAACTTTAAATTTGTTTTATTGTATCACAATCCAGGATGATTTACAGAAGAAGCGCTTCATTATAAATAATTTTATTATTTGTGTATTCAATGATTGTAATGGGTAAAAATGTACCCAGTTATACAATATTGTAGAGAAATTAAATAAGCGTTTGATTTAACAGAAAATTTAAAGACTTATCATTCATCAAATTAAGTAAATGGTTTTCATTTTTTTTTAATATCAAGGAGCTTAAACTAACTACACAGCTAAACTTCGAAATCTCGAACACGGATATCTCGAATACCCCGGATATGTCGAAGTAAGACCGCGGTCCCGACGAAATTTGCTTTATAAATGATTAAAATAAACCCCTCTATGTCGAACACGGTAATGTCGAATACCCCGGTTATCTCGAGGTAGAATTGTGTACCCATTCATTAAAATCACATGCGTTATCTCGAAGTCAGGATAATTTTCCGCACTGATGATCAAGTCCGTTTGGTAAACTGGACGCTCTATTGATAACACCCACCTGTCTGTCACGCACGGGTTACCTGTGTTCCTGTGATCAACAGATAGTAGCGCGATAATTATACGAAGTGTATGTATGGCTTACCCTGATTTTAATTATGCAAGCCAAGGTTGTGTGTATTGGTCTAATGCATACGCGTGGATGACACGTTGTTTTGTGGCTTGGGTACGTTTATCTTGATAATCGCTATTTAATGCTATGTGAAATATGCGCGCATACATAGTTTATGCATATGAAAGTGAAAATCATAAACATCGAAGTAAAACAAAATTCTGTAATTTAATGCAATTAGAATTTATTTTTCCTGTATGAGCGTGCAGAATTTACAATCGTCCATCATGCCAATCATGTGAGCGTGTGTCGCAGTAAAAACTTGTGCTATAGTGTCCTGTGATTCAGTGTTGTTCTGTTGTTAGACAAAAGTGCGTGATTTTTCTTTTGCATTGGATTTTATTATGGTAAAATAATTTTCTTTTAACTGATTATAAATGTATGAACATGTTTTTCTTATACAAGAAAATGTATATTTCGTTTTCGTTATTCTGACAGCGACCGGTTTTAAATTTACAATGCATAGACGATATCCGGTTATGTATACATGGGAAACGATGCTAGCGGTTGACATGCCGCGTTGGTAGAAAGATCATACTTTTGTGCATATTATACAAAGTTTTTTTATTTTGTGAATTATAAAGAGGATATAAAAATCTTTTTATTGCTAAATACATGTACATGTTTATTAAAGAAATCGTATACAGAATTTCAAACAAGAAGGAATTTGACATGTTTTTACTATTAAGTACATGTTCACTGCACTAAGTTTATTTGAAGTTCATTTGAATTATAACCCTCGAAATGTCGAACCCCCGGAGTTCATCAACGGTCCCGTTAACTTCGAGATAACGAAGTTTAACTGTATAAGTTTTACCTTACTTTTTTGTCTAACTTTATTCAATGTTGTTTTTTTTTCATACTAAAGATTAAAAATCAATTGATAGCAAAACTTGGGAGATCCTCAAATATAGTATGATTTGAAAGGGATTTGTTACATTTCAATTGAGTGCACGTTTATATTTTTATAAATATAGAATTATTCAGAGGGCAAGTCATTGTGTGATATCAAGGCTTAATGATAAAACAAACCACACATGTGTCGTCAAAGATAAAGTTTACCTGGCCAAGAAATTTTTACCAATTATGCCTGAACAATACAGGCCTAATACCAGTCTGTGTAAGAATTCAACATTTATTGATTTGTTTTCTATGTAATTTTTTTATTATTGATAGTAAAAGGTAATCAATAGATCGGATAGACATGTAGACATGTAGAAGTAGGATACAGTTATATACCAAGGCGAGATCAAAGTTAATTTTACAAGCATATACTGTTGTAGGTATCAAAGAATTATCTGAGTTTCCTGCTCCGGTTGAAAATACCACAGGTATTTCTTAAAATATGATATATATAAAAGAAACATCATTGATATATCAAATATATCCCTTTCCTGCTTTTTATGTTTATATGCATTAAGAGTCAGAAGTATTAAATATTGCAATCTACCATTCAGGGATATTTTTTTGCAGATCTAATGATACAGTATTGCAACCAATTTTTATTCTTTCAAGATTGTAGAAGTCATAGCATGAAAAGTTGTGCATTTGTGTCCATCGCTTAAAAAAATAAATTTAAATAATCTTATTTTTTGTACCTCATAAAATTAATGTTCATTATTTTTTTTAAGGCTAATAGAAAGATGTTTTTGAACATATGACAATTTTGGAAAGGCTTGGGATACTCCCACATTAATTTTGTATTTCCTTATATAATCCTGATAAAATTTAAAAAAATACTACCACAATTAATTTTCTCTTCAAATTGCTCACTAATTGATTTTTAAGTTACAATAATTTTAATTCGTCCCAGTTTACTTCTCATGATCATCGACTATTGTTTTTTCTAGACTAAATCTTTTTAATTTATTTATAATTACCTTCCACTACCTTTTTATTTCTATTGCTGCACAACAATATTGTTCAGTGCATCAAAGAATTAAAATGTATGTCAATGATCATAACAAACATTTAAAAAGAAGCATTGTTTTTGGCCTAATTTTATGAAAACAATAAAACTAGCGACTAATATAGTTGCAATATTTGTGGTGTTGAGATAACGATTTTTGACAAAAAGAAAAAAAAGATTGTACAATTCTTAACACAAAAAGAAAATAAAAATGACATTCTTTCTGAAGATTCAAGATTTTGACAAAATGAAACGTTTATGTTAATTTTTGTATTGTATATATGCAATAGGAAGCGTTTACTACTTGTACTATAAAATGTCCCAAAGTTTTTACTTACAGTTTACTTAGACGTTTGGACATGTTTCGCGTTATGGGTGTCAAAATATTTAAAATTTACCGTGAAGACAAGGAAGTGATTTGGACCCTATTTGACTTGAATTTTAGGATTTTTACCATATAATTTTGATAATTATAAACCTAAAGGGTTAATTGAGAATAAATCAAATTTGTGTTTAACGTACATTATATGCCATAAGCATAAAAATAACACACAGTAGATAAAATCAATAAAACAATACCACTACTCCAGATCTTATCTGTTTCAAAATTGGATGGTTTTTTTATTTATTGCTGACTTAAGATGTAAAGTGCCAACTAACAACTAAACTGTATGACAAACGAGATGACTTCAACTTTTCCACTATCAACTTTCCTTCTATAGGTAGTAACATCCTGCTATCACCTGCATATGGTGTTTGTATCTTCCAACTTATTCGATACTCAAGAGCATATTCCGAGTAAGATCAATTTTTGAACCGAGGCATGCTACTGACAGATAAGTTGATGTTACATGGATTTCAACAACTTCTTTTTAAAGTCAGCATTTTGCAAATTTTATGGTCGTTTTAATGATCTTGTTAGCAAATATAACTTATCACTGGGTCGTATTTTGGCTGACTTGTTCTTTACCAATTGTTAAGCCTTTGTTTTTATACTGAATTTGACTACGGAATGTTCGGTCTACCTGATCAATGAATAGGACGCACGGCGGGTGTGACCGGTCAACAGGGTATGCTTACTCCTCCTAGGCACCTAATCTTAACTCTGGAATTTCCAGGGATCCGTGTTTTTGCCCTCTTTGCAGAATTGAATTTTTTTAAATAATTTTTTGGACATCGATCCCTGTTCGTTATCTTCACTTTTTTCATTGAGAGAGTGTTAGTAGCGAAGCATTTGTATTGCATATGCAAAAACAAGAAACTTCAGGTAACTCACTATTTCGGAAAACGTTTTATTTTGTTAAAATAAAAGATCTTGCTGCAACTACAGAAAGCGGATGTCAAATTATTCATTGTGCATTAGAATCAATTAGGACATGTTCTTTTGTTAAGCTTGGCCTTTTCAAGATTAATATTTGCATCTGAACGTTCATATTTGTCTATTTATTGTATGAGGCATTTAACAAGATTATTGTAAGAAAAACATTTTTAAAAATGTACAAAAAAAATTTACGTGAACAATGCATAATATTTTCTTGTCAAGATTATTGTAGGTATATATTATATAGTTTAAAGCTCAAAACAAGATTATTTTAGGGAATTTTAAGAGAAATCAGTGTAGCAAAAGAGAAGTAAATAAAAATAAATGAATTAATTACATTGACTTAGGCAAAAAAAACAAAAACAAACAAACAAACAAACACAAATTTGGTGAAAATTTAATTGGGAAAAATCACAATCATCATTACATAAATATAAAATTTCAAGAATTGGAAGATATTTCATTTATTCTTTATTTTTGTTTCTTGTTTTGGTAAGTTTATAAAGAAAATATAATATTAATTCTTGGGTTACCCTATGACATTTTAATGTTAATGTTTAAATAAAGAGCCTTGTTTTTTAGATACTATTGCTCTTTCAAGAGATAAAGAAGCAAATACCATTTCTCAGACGCAAGTTTTTCGTAAGTTGAAATATCAATATATTCTCAATGATCCTATTTTAAAAGAAAGCTATTGAAAATAAATGTTTTACTATATAACGTTTAAATTGTAAACTGCCCTGCACAATTTTTTTTTTCGTAATGAAAGAATACAATAAACATGATAAAAGGAAAAAAAAAGTTAAAATTATATCTTCGATTTTCATAAGATACATCTATCAAATTTAACAACATCAATTTACAAGGACACAAGTATAAAATTAAAGTTCTAACTTTAATAAGTTTTTTTCACTTTTATCAAAACAACACCTGAAAAATTGTATTTTTTATTCTGAAGAAATCTAGAATGTAGAGTCTTTTATGTATATGATCGACTATGTTATATATGTCATACCTGAACATTTCTCATACCTTTCAGTTGCTACTGGATTTACATTTGTGATGCTCTTTGTAATCAGCGTAACAATTAGTATATTAAGAATAAGGTGGGTATCCTTATATTTTTTAATATAAAAAGGTTAACATTTAAGAATAAGATTTACTCAGCTTTTCAGCGCATTGTCTTTAGAATACACTTTTACAAAGAAAATTTACTAATAGGCGTGGTCATCATTATAATTAGGTTCAGATGCAATGAAACTTAGCAAAAGGTGTCGATATGTAAAGCATACCATGCCAAGCCCGATGTTTAAGTAGAAATGCATTAAGAAGAAAACGCAAAACTGATATATGAACTATTTTTTAGCAATTTTTGGCACAGAAAATATTCATTAATTTAAGGGGGGGGGGGGGGTAATCTGTTTGTGCGTCCGATGAATTGACTGTATGTTACTTCCTATTTGAGAAATTTTCACTCATAGAGACATCGCATGCTTTTAGAGAAGTGCCACAGATTTTGGCCTATGCATGGCGCTCACGGTCGTAGCGGTGATGTTTCATTTTCATGTCAACGCCTACCTTTTAAACGGGATATTTTAAAAGTCTCACCCGAAAGTCTATTGACTTTCCCTTCTAATGTCAGAAACTTCGCAGAAACAGTTTCTACCTATGTGAAAATCTTAGTTTTGACTTGGAACCGGAAACGAGAGTCCAACCTGGACCCCAGATCACAGAGCAAGTGCCCAACCACTAGCATTGGGTGACAGGTGCCTGTGCTTCTGTGCAAGCTATTAAGATCAAATTGTAAAAGAACTTTGATGAAATTTGGATTGGATATCCGGAGCTAGGAAGATCTCATTTAATATACCGGATGAATTCATTTAAAGACCTGAATATAAATTGCGAAAAAAATAGAGAACAAATCAATGTTTTTCACAAGATGAATTTACGTCATTCAGTTAATGAAAGGTCGCGGAAAGGCTGATGTACTCAGCCTTTCCATATCAAACCATCTTCCGAAATTTTCAATATATATGACTTTGTTTTCTATGTGATATACACCTAACCATCATAATATTAAAATAAGATATCAGGGGCTGTTTAGGTATTTTAAAGATGCAGCTGATCTTAAGAAACAAATGGTGAAGTATCAGTAAAAAATGCTCTTTTTTTCAATTTTCCAAGATAAAAGTACTTAATGTGATATATTATGGAAAGAAAAGGTTCAGCAGCTCTTATCCTTTATGGTTCATATTCTTTGGATATTATTCATAATCAAAACAGTATATTTCTTATCGGTCTTTGTTAATGACTTTCAGGGTTAGGGTTACTAAGACCACGTTACGGCAAAATTACTTGAACAGGTTTGATCCAAAGAAAGCTTAACTTAATTTTGTTTCCGATAATATTACAATAATTTATATATGGCATATATCTGGTATCTAGGTACTATAATTGAAAAAAACACACTTCTATAAAAAGTGAGGGGGTACAATTGACAGAGCCAAAGTCCAACACATTATTATCCCTTTGTGGAATTTCTCTTTTGTCTTCTAATTTCTATTCATCTGCCGTTATAGAAATATTGTACACAACAGGAAACCATCTTAACCCTTCATATTTTCCTCACTAAAACAAACCACAAACACTTCAGCATGTTGCACATTGCCAACACTGTGACTGGAATTATTGATTCAGATAATAGTAATTGATTTTGCAAAAAAAAGTCTTCAAAATAATAACATAATGTGTTTGGTTCAATTATATACCTATAAAAATGTTCATTTGGTTCAAAGATCATATATAGACCAACTTGTTATCATATGACAAAAATATCCATAGAAAAAAAACAACATTAGTTGCTCGCATTTATTCCAAATCATTTAGAATCATTGAGATTCTTTCTCTTATTACAAAAATATCCACAAAAAAACGTTGGCTGCATATATTACTTCTCTCACTATGACTTCATTTTAAAAACTAACAGTTATGATATGTTAAGATTGCATACATTTATATTTCTAAATTAGAAGAGGAACAAATTAATCTTAACTCTTTTTTTCCATTTGTTTGTCATTATTCAGTATCCAGTGCGGAGGGGATACACACGTCTGTTTTCATAAGATACAATTTTTTGGTTCAGCAAAATAATGACGTTTTTCATTCATTCATTCGTCTCTAAGTATTGACCTTTTAAACAATTATATAAAAAGAGTTCCATTTCCTGTTATTTATATAAATTCAAAGAAGCATTAAAATAAAGAAGTATAATTTCCTTTTATTTTTCAGAAAAACTCTAATGAGAAAAAAGAGAAAAGAATTAATGCCTCTTCCAATGATCCAAAAGGTAGAGGATCCCCCATACGAAATCAACTTAACATATCCAGATGGTCTGTATCACGATCCTGATTATGAAATCGTGGACGATCAAGACGAAGGCTATGAACGTTTGCCTGCACAAATAGAAGAGATTAGAAATCAGATCCTTGTAGACAACGATAGTGATGGAGTATACACAGATCCCAATAACGCAGATGGAACTTATTTAGATGTAGTTCATCCCAAAATATATCCACATGATTATATAAATGTTAACCCTTATGTTGATTTAGTGGGTGAGACCTTTGAATGTCAAAATGTATTAGAACCCCAGTAAAATAACTCAAAATCATAGCCGTACATGAGCAATGGGATGGAATCTAATTAATAGTCAGTATAAGAATACACTATTCTAACATTTATTCTGCGTACATCCTGATTTATTAAAAAAAAAGGTCTAGATGTATGCTAGTAACATTAATTTTGAAAACCGGTAGGTCTATGAAAAACATCTTTTGCTCAGTTGTCTAGAGTGAAAAATAATCATCACTACGTTCTTAAAATTTCACTACTCTTTAGTACATTTTTCATCAATATACCTAGCAAATTTCTATTTGATATATGCTCAAATAAACAAATTATGAGATTTTATATTACGTGTGGTATCGCTTTACGGCGCACGGATTATGACGTCAAATTGTCTAAAGCAGCGTCAAATTTCTTCTTTGCTAAACAAAGTTGAATGATCCCCATTTAAATTCGGGAATTTCATCGATGCACTTACTCGAGTTTCCCTTTACTCCTCCATAAACAGTCGAGGAACTAATCTCGCACGCACATGGGACCATCTGAAGATTTATTAGTAAGTTATGGACTGCACTCTCACTATCATTCAACTAAACAGGCAGTCGTATCGACGGTCTACAGTTTTTCATTCTTCGTTTTTTTTTTCTTCTTAGACATTTAAAGTCTCTTAGAGCGTCATATTTACTACATCTAAATCAAACTGAACTGCTCTCTGTCAAAAGTTGCCATTTTTCGTGTGTTGTGTTGACCACTTTCCCCTTTCAAATGCTCGGAAAACTGATAAAAATTAAGCAAATGCCTTCAAATTTTCCAGATAACGACATGATAGATAGTGAATAAAAATATGACAATTTTTACCCCAACCATATCTATATAATACTTTTATTTCGATAAATACTCGCGTGTTCTCTAATGAAACCTGCATTTTTATCGTGTTCCGTATGGCGATAGCCTGTACACATTTAAGTATATATTTTTTTGTCTACATTTTATAAAAAAAAAATAAGATGTAATTAAAATTGATAAATAAACATTTGCAGAAAATTTCAGCTTAGTGCACCCATTATTTTTCGATAAAAATACATTGTCTACGATTTTACCGGACAGTTCTCGTAGAGGCTCGCGATTAGTTATGTCCGTTTTGAATATGCATATGAGAAAAAAAAACTCAGTCACTCAATTCAAACTTCATTTCTGGGAAAATCTTTGGAAAGACTATTATTCCGTAATTTTTTTTTATTATTTGGCATAATTATTTAAAGATGGGCTGATTGATTTATTTTCATTGTAACTTCCACACAATCTGTAGACAGGGCACTAGATCTCGAACAATCTTGTAAAAGCGGAAAAGTTTGCGTAATTACTTTGTAGAAATTACCATTGTCCTTGTGATTAGTTTATTTTAATGAGAATAAAGGGGATTTTATAAAATAAGACAAAGTGTATATCACAGCATATTAATTTGACACGTAAAGTTAAAAGTTTGATCTACTATCGCAACTTATTTTTACCAATACTAACTAATCTATATAATATACAATTATGGACTATTTCGGTGGTGAATATGGCGTCATTTCATAAATATTATGTACTCTGTGGAAGATTACTCCAGGCGATGGGCCAGATATGAAAAAGAAGACCTTGACACGTTGTCCGAATGGATTAAATGTATTGGGTGTATGTTAAAATCTCGCATTAAGCGATTGAGGGGTAAAATGAAAACCAACAATGATCATTCTGTGTTCAGTAATTCAGAAGTGAAAAAGAATTACATAGATTACACGATCAGTATGTAATGATCACTGCTGACAAAGCAGGTAAAAAATGTCTTTGTTTGTAAGGCTCCTATTCAATTGTATTTTTAGAGGAACTGGGATTTAATTTAACAAGTGATAATCCAATTTATACCCATAGCTCCATTTCTAAGGAGGAAATTCTTCAAAGTCATATGTCAGTTTTGAAAATTTTTAATATTCCCAATAACCAACATGAATTTGAATTACCATTTCTATTCTGGATTCCAAAACTTCATAAAAATCCTTACAATCAAAGATACTTTTCGGGTTCCAGTAAATGCTCTACCAAGCCCCTTTCTTTACTCCTCACTAAAATATTAGAGTAGTGAAGGAGAAACTTCAGGAGTACTGTGCAACAATATATTCGAGATGTGGTGTAAATCAGATGTGGATACCTAAAATTCCAAGGAACTTTTGGAAAATTTGAAATCACAAAATTTTACCAATATCAACAACATTAAAACTTACGACTTTTCAACATTATATACAACCATCCCCCACGATAAATTAAAGTCTAGGATTTTTGATATCATTGACAGCTGCTTTTTCAATAGAAATGGACCTCTTAAATTTACTTACCTTGACAAAAGCCATTTACAAAAATATTTTGTTAAAAACATTCTGATTGCTTACACAAGTACTCTAAAGTTGATATTGAAAAGATGCTTGAGTTTCAGATTGACAATTTCTATGTGGTTTTGGGAGACCAGGTCTTCCTAAAATTGGACCAATTCTTATGTCGATACGATATATCCCAGTGAGCTTTAAATAAAAGATACCACAGAGTCTGATACGTCTGTTTCATATTTGGATATTTTAGTAGAAGACGTTAATGGTAATCTAACAACCAAGCTTATGATAAACGTGATGACTTTAACTTTTCAATCGTCAACTTCCCTTACTTTTGCAGCAATATATCTTTATCACCTGCATAAGGGGTTTATGTCTCTAAGTTGCTTCGATACGCAAGAACATGCTCTACGTATGAACAATTTCTAAAACGAGGTAAATTATAAACAAACAAGTTGATGAAACAAGAATATTACCAGTCTCGTTTAAAGTCGTCATTTCTTAAGTTCTATGGTCGATACAATGACCTTGTCAGCAAATACAATTTATTATAATGTCAAATGCTTACTGACGTAAGTGCTTTCTCTCTATAACCTGAACATCGTATATGTCGACCTACGTGAACTTGGCTTGCTTATACTGGTAGTCGATGAACTTTCACCTTTTCCTTTTTATTATCCGTATTATAAAGGAAATGTTTGCTCTGATAATCATTTGAATGATAGGCATATTTTATTAAGAATGAATTATGATTTCTTTATTTTTATAAAAATCTGGACCAACCCCCCCCCCCCCCCTCCTCGAAAAAAATGCAGTGAAAAAAGACATGTACTTTCCATATTAAATCATCAATAAGAATTAATATCAATTAAAAACATATTTTATTTTTAAAATTGTTATACATACGAGGGTTGATCAAAAATTTCGCGAACGAATTGAATTACTTCCATAAAACAAATGAAATTAGGTTTCAGTGGGTTCTTTTTTCAGGAGTATTCTCCGATTTTAATACACATCTGCCACGTTGGATGTTCACAGAAGCTAAAAGATTTTTCCAAGTCTTATATTTCTTACCATGCAAGTTATTTTTTTATAACAAGAAAAAATTGTCAGAAATGACCAAATCTCGGCAATAGGATATCCTTTCCCAGAATGCGCATTATAACCATCATAACCCGAGTCCTCTCTCTTGGGGGCGTCGTTTATCCAATGTGGATAAAATATGGGCACCTTCTTTTATCATATCTGATATGTTTAAAGTCTAATGTAAACTACTTTTAGGGATATAGTAATTATAATTGTTAAGATATTCAACTATTGTTCGAACTATAACTTGGCGATCTTTCATAACAAATTGCAGAGCTAAGGATACATCTCTTTTCCATGGCCAGCTTGCTTTCACTGGGCAATAGAACAAACATCATTTTTAACCATCTCCCTTCCTTCATTAAAACAAACAAGTCATTTAATGATTGAACCTTTGTCTTCATAAACCTTGTACAAATTATTATATGCTACTGCAAAGAAATTTCCCAGATATTCATTAAACTTTACAGCCGTTCATTGCTCAAGTAGGACTGAGTCAACCATTTTTTGTCACATGTCACCTACATATTGACGTCATATTCGCATTGTGACGTCACAAACATGGAGCAAAACATTCCATAACATCTGCTATTTATGGAACATGTAAATGACTATACATGTATGTGTGTCAAATTACATTCTGATCTGAAGTTTGGTTTTGTAAATACAGATATAGTTCGCGAACTTTTTGATCACCCCTCTTATGTATAAATTTAGACAGTATTCATTTACGTTCATTACAACACAATATAACTTTCTATGACAGATTAGATAAACTAATGTAATATATAAAAGTCTTTTGTTTTATCCGATTTATAATTGATTTTACTTATTCCTTGTTCATATCCTTTTTTCTATAATGTTTCACCAAATGACGTATTTAGTACGACACGTATAACACTACAAATTTTCAGGATGCACGTTGAGGAATCTGAAAAAAGAATTTCTACATTTTTAGAAAACTTTATCAAATTTACCACGTATTTGCAATAAAAGGGTATGCTCAATTTCAAATCAAGAAATATCAACTCTAAATGGGGCATTTATTATAATTTGAAGTTAACATAAACTCTCTCTCTCTCTCTCTAACACATACACTCACACACACACATACACACACATACACACTAATCTTTGAATTTTTTTATGCTAATTTAAAATAGAATTGTTACACTTTTGACATTAGAATTATATCTAAGCTTGACACTGATGTCTCTTTTGCTCTTGACAATAATAACTGTGACAACCAGTATAAAATCTCCATACCTGACATCCTCTGTTCCTCTCTCTTATGAGAGCTGATAAAGTGTACAGAATTGGATTGAGAGCAGAATTGATTGGTAAAACAAGCACTGTTATCCAAATGTACACTTCCTGCGAAACGTCTACCCCAGAGAATGTCATCATAGCTGAATTATACATTTAAAATAATAAAAGAAACCATTAGATGACAATTATGCTCAGATTTGTAATGAAAACAAACAGATACTATTGGTTCAATGATCTAAATTAGAGAATGAGTACGTGCAGGGTTGTTTTACTAAAAGATATGAAAACATGGGGAGAAAAAAGATCACCT